TTTTATATGAAGCCACACAACTAGAACCAACTTGTCTTTGACAAAGGAGCTAAAAATATACGATGGAGAAAAGCAGCCTCTTCAACAAAAACTGCTGGGAAAACTGGTTAGCAGTCTGCAAAAAACTGAAACTAGATCCATGTATATCACCCTATACCAAGATTAACTCAAAATGGATCAAGGATCTTAATATCAGACCCCAAACTCTAAGTTGATACAGGAAAGAGTAGGAAATACTCTGGAGTTAGTAGGTATAGGTAAGAACTTTCTCAATGAACCCCAGCAGCACAGCAACTAAGAGATAGCATAGATAAATGGGACCTCATAAAACTAAAAAGCTTCTGTTCATCAAAAGAAATGGTCTCTAAACTGAAGAGAACACCCACAGAGTGGGAGAAAATATTTGCCACTATACATCAGACAAAGGACTGATAACCAGAATATATAGGGAACTTAAAAAACTAAATTCTCCCAAAACTAATGAACCAATAAAGAAATGGGCAAGTGAACTAAACAGAACTTTCTCAAAAGAAGAAATTCAAATGGCCAAAAAACACATGAAAAAATGCTCACCATCTCTAGCAATAAAGGAAATGCAAATTAAAACCACACTAAGATTCCACCTCACCCCTGTTAGAATAGCCATCATCAGCAACACCAACAACAGGTGTTGGCGAGGATGCGGGGAAAAAGGAACCCTCTTACACTGTTGGTGGGAATGTAAACTAGTACAACCACTCTGGAAAAAAATTTGGAGGCTACTTAAAAAGCAACATTGATCTACCATTTGATCCAGCAATACCACTCTTGGGATATACCCAAAAGACTGTTACTCCAGAGGCACCTGCACACCCATGTTTATTGCGGCACTATTCACAATAGCCAAGTTATGGAAACAGCCAAGATGCCCCACCACTGACGAATGGATTAAGAAAATGTGGTATCTATACACAATGGAATTTTATGCAGCCATGAAGAAGAACGAAATGTTATCATTCGCTGGTAAATGGATGGAATTGGAGAACATCATTCTGAGTGAGGTTAGCCTGGCCCAAAAGACCAAAAATCGTATGTTCTCCCTCATATGTGGACATTAGATCAAGGGCAAACACAACAAGGGGATTGGACTTGAGCACATGATAAAAGCGAGAGCACACAAGGAGGGTGAGGATAGGTAAGACACCTAAAAAACTAGCTAGCATTTGTTGCCCTTAATGCAGAGAAACTAAAGCAGATACCTTAAAGCAACTGAGGCCAATAGGAAAAGGGGACCAGGAACTAGAGAAAAGGTTAGATCAAAAAGAATTAACCTAGAAGGTAACACACATGCACAGGAAATCAATGTGAGTCAACTCCCTGTATAGCTATCCTTATCTCAACTAGCAAAAACCCTTGGTCCTTCCCATTATTGCTTATACTCTCTCTTCAACAAAATTAGAGATAAGGGCAAAATAGTTTCTGCCTGGTAACGAGGGGTAAGGGGGGATATGGGAGGGAGCCGGGGGGAAGGAAGGGGGTAGAAATGAGCCAAACAATGTATGCACATATGAATAAAATAAAAATTTAAAACAAAAACCTAAAGCTTTATAAACCTACTCAATGAAATGTCAGCCAAAAATTACCCAAATATAGGCAAAGATACGGACATCCAAGTACAGGGGCATTTAGAAATGACCTGAAAAGAAGCATCCCAGGTCACATTGTAGCTAAAATGTCAAGACTCCAGAACAAATAATACTGAAAGTTGCATGAGAATAGCAAAGTTACTTAAAAAGGCAAATTCATTCCGTTTACATCAGACCTCTCAGCAGAAACCCTAAAAAGCAAGGAAAGCAAGGAGTGACATATCTCAAACCATGAGATGAATAATTGCCATGCACAGTTACTATACCCAGAAATGCAGTCCTTTAAAATGGGTGGAGAAGTAATGTAATCACCTTCCATAATGCGTACAACCAAATGCAACTCCTGACCACTAAGCCACCAGTGAAGAAGACACTTCTAGGGAGTCACATAGAAAGGCAGTCACAATCAGGAGAACTCAGGAAAGAGTAAACCTCAGAAGAACAGCAAATGAGAATACAGAATCAAACTTGCTCAAATTGATAAACCAGCAACCCTCTAAGGTAAATAAGGGAGAAAGAAAAGAAAACGCTTGGTTGAATCAAATTTAAAAAATAAGATTACAAGAATCAGTATATACCTCCCATTTTCATGGATCACCAGGATTAATATTGTTCACATGGCCATATTAGTGAAAACCATCTACAGAATCAGTGCAATCCCCATCAGATTCCCAATGAAATTCTTCACAGAAATTGAAAAAGAAATGCCTGAAATTCCTATGGACAAAGAAAATCCTTGATTAGCCAAAGCTGTGCTAACAAGAGCAATGCAGATGTATCACAATTCTTTGATTTCAAATTATACCAGAGAACCATAGTATCCTGAACAAAAAGCACCGGTACAAATCAGAGACACAGACCAAAGAAATAGAATAGAAGACCCAGAATTAAATCCAAGCAACTACAGGCATCTGATACTCAAAAATCCTGCCGAAGAGGAACCGAGACCCCCATCTTTCACCCTGCACAAAACTGAACTCGAGATTGTTGAAAGACCTGAAACTTTGAAACTGTTAGAGAAAATGAGAGGGGAAAACACTTCAAAATACAGGCAAAGGTGATAAAGTTTCTTTTTAGGATTCAAATAACTCAGAAAATACTAGCAAGAATTGAGCCACTGGGGCTTGGGATATGGCTCCGTGGTAGAGAACTTTGTTTCCATTTATGAGGGTTCCATCCCCAGCTCTGTAAATGTAAAGAAATTGACAGCTGTGATCGCATCAAGTTGAAAAGCTGCACAGCAAAATAAATAATTAACTGTGAACAGCCAAATAGTGGTAGAAAATCTTTGCCTAGTATTCATCTGACAGCGGTCTAATGACATACCAGGAAACAACCAAGCACACTAGACATCAAAACAACCAGTAATCCAATCAAGAAAAGGGCACATGAGCTCAACAGGCCTTGTCAAGTGAAGTACTTGTGGCCAATAAATACACGAAAAATAGTCACCCTTTTCAGTAATCAGGAAAATGCAAATCAAACGTACACTAATATGCTCTCTCACCTCAGTCAGAATGGCTATCAAAGACACAAACATGGCTGACTGAGTTGCCCAAATGGTAGGGTGCCTGCCTAGCAAGCTCAATCCCCTGAATTCAACCCCCCCAGCTACACACACACACACAACCAACACGAAAGAAAGTATGTGGAAATAACAACCTTTATACACTCATTGTTGGTTGAAATCTAGATTGGTTCAGCCACTATCATTTTATGGAGTTTCCTCATAAAATTAAAAAACTGTAATTTGATACAGCTATTTGGTTATGTATGGAATAGAATTAAAGCATGTTAGAGATGGGCTGGGCACCAATGGTTCACACCTGTAATCCCAGCTACTCAGGAAGCAGAGATCAGGAGGATCTTGGTTCAAAGCCAGCCCAGGCAAATAGGTTGTGAGACCGTATCTCAAAAGTACTCACCACAAGCCAGACTCTGGTGGCTCACACCTGTAATCCCAGCTATGCAGGAGGCAGAGATCAGGAGGATCATGGTTCAAAGCCAGCCCCAGGCAAATAGTTCTTGAGACCCTATCTCGAGAAAGCCTTCACAAGAATAGGGCTGGTGGAGTTGCTCAAGATGAAGGCCCTGAGTTCAAGCCCCAGTACTGCAAAAACTAGGGACAGGGAGAAGGAGGAAAGGAGAGAGTAGGAGACAGGGAGAGAGAAAGAGGGAGGGGGAGAGAAACAGCTTTCCACACATATATACTGAACCATGGTTCTCCATCTTGGGGTTCCATTTGCATGCCATCATTACCAGTGTCTAACTGCTGCTTAATCCCCTTTACCGAATGGGGAATTCAGGGCACTTTCTGCCTGCTTCCTGTCAGGAGTCTCTTGTCCTTGCTCTCTGTTGATGGGGGCAGCCGAGGTCCCAGGTCGTGAGTGCTCTGCGGGGCTGTGAAAGGGGGTAGACACTGCAGAGACTGTGATCGGGGTAGTTGTGTGTGAGGAGGAGGAGGACCCGTACACCTTGCGTTGTGGTTGGGATATCAAGGGTCATGCTGTTTGGAAACACGGCCTGTCCTATCATCTCTACCTCAGTTTAGTAAACTGAGTTTTACAGCCTGGAGACAAGAGGGGACGATCTTGGTTAAAATGCTAATAATATAGGGGCCAAAAAAAGAGATGAGCAATATGGAGACTAGAGGTC